AAAAAAAAAAAAAAAAAAAAAAAAAAAAGGAAAGAAAGAAAGAAAGATCTATCCCTGACCACAAAATCAGTGGAGGTGCCTATGGCCATTGAAAGATTTTTAAGCAAGGGAGTGAAAATAAAGAGAAAGTGGAGGGATATTTTGAAAATGTCACACAACTGCTCTGTGGATAGGGGGTGGGTAGGATGGAAATGGAGAAACAATGAAGACAGTAACTTGGACTAGGGAGACGCAGAATCTGTGGCCAGATAAGAGAGAGATCTAGGGAAAAAAATCCTATCAACATAAATTGGTAGCGCCAAAGTTTCCTTATATTTAAAGTAGATCTTTGCTAGGCCTGCGTTTCTGTATGGGAACTGCATCTCTGGAATTATTTTCTAAAATATGTTTTGGAAATATGTTATTTCCCTTGTTAGACAGTCAACTCCTGGAGGATAGGATTACTGCGAGACGGAACTTTCCTTCCTTACAGAGCTCACTTAAAAGCTATGCATTTATTGGATGGAGGCGGAGACCCTGTCATTCTCAGGAGAAAGCACAGGACTCCGCCTCCTGCCAGGGCTGGCCCCGCCCACACTCTCTTACACGCCTGCGCAATCCCCGTGCCAGCCCCCTCCTCGCCGCCAACGCGACGCACGCATGCGCGCTCCTTCTCCATGTGTGCTCGGGCCGTCACCCGGCCCAGCTAAGCAGAACACGAATACCCCTCAGCGACGAGGCCTTATCACGAGCTCCGCAGCCCCCACAGTCTGCTGTTGCCTTCCTTTCTCGGTCCATCCCCACAGCGCGCGTCGCCATGGGAAAGAGTCGGACGAAACGCTTCAAGCGACCTCAGTTCTCTCCCACCGGCAACTGTCAGGCCGAGGCGGCAGCAGCAGAGAACGGAGAAGAAGATGACGAAGGGCCAGCGGCGGAGCTGCTGGAAAAGGTGAGTGAGGCGAGAACACCGCCAGACCCGGGAAACGGGTACTGGGCTGGGGCAGACCGAGCTCCAGCGCCAAGCCCCGGCCGCGCGTGCGCACTGCGTCCCTGACACCTTGCTCTTGTCCCGCAGCTCCAGCACCCGACCGCCGAGGTTCGCGAGTGCGCCTGCGCGGGGCTGGCCCGGCTGGTGCAGCAGAAGCCGGTGCTCCCGGCTCTGGCTCGCCGCGATGCTGTGCGCCGACTCGGGCCGCTGCTGCTCGACCCCAGCCTGGCTGTTAGGGAGACGGCGGCCGGCGCGCTGAGGTGAGCCGGGAGAGGGTCCGGGGTGGTGCCCACCACTGCTGTCCTCTGAGCCTGAGCTGTCACAGCAGGCAGCCAGCTCTTTATGTTTGCCAGGCACGCACTCTCCTTGCTTCATTCCCAGGCGCTTGGAAGGGCGAAAAACCTGCTCCTGGTCTCCCAGTGGCAGGAGTCTGGGGATGTGAACCTACGCTCCATCTAGACTTCAGAGGACACCAGGACTCCCGCATTTCATCTGTCGGTTGGCAGCAGCCACCTGGCCAGGCTCCTTGCCTTCAAACCTGGCTCTCATTTCTTCCTCTCCTTGAACCCTCCAGAGAGTCACTCAGTTGTCTGACCTCTTCCAGTTTGTGCTAGGAATTGGTCTAAGGGCAGGCAGGACGTTGAGCATGACAGCCAAGATCCTATCTTTGCAGAAGCTACGTTGATGGGGAGAGAAAACGAGTAAAATGATAAATAGATGATATTAGATAGAACTGCTCTGGAAAAACATGAGAATGATGATTTGCCGGTGGGAAGTTTAAATTGGGTGCTTTCTAGATGACATTTGTGAACTGAGACCTGAAGAATGAGAGGGAAATAGGGGGAAGAGCATTCCCCATAAGAGGACCGGCAATAGCAGAGAAGTGAGGCAGCACACGGCTTGACTGATGTGGTTAATCAGCAGAATGGTTAGTGTGTGGCTCAGTAGAGTAGGAGTGGGGAATTGTAGGAGCCCTGGTGGGAGAGCTGGATAAGGTGGAGGGTATTGTGGAGCCAAAGGACCTACTCTAAGCTGGGGAGTGACATGGTCTGATTTGCTTTGGTGGCTGTATAGAGAATGGACTGTAGGGGGGGCAAGAGTAGAAGTAATGATTTGTTGTTCTTACATTTCTGTGTATATGTATTATTTATGTTTCCATCACTGACAGCAATTTTGTATCACATGCCTACTATGTGCCAGGCACTGGCTAGGGTCTGGGCATGGGGTAATGAGGAAGGCAGGCATAATTTCTTTCCTTAATGAATATCTATTGAGGTAGACAAGCATTAACCAAACCATTTACATTAAGTGTGCAATTCCAACCAGTAGGAAGTGCAAAAGATGCTTTCTTTGAGAGGATATAACTAGTAGTTCAGGGAAGAAAATCCTGAGCCAATGATGTTTGAGGTGAGATTAAGGGATGAGTGGGAATTTCCCACTTGATAGAGGGTGGTTGAACATCCTTCTACCTCTGGGGAGAAAATGGCATGTGGAAAATCCTACCATTCCCCCTAATACAAACCGGGAGCACCTGGAATATTTTAAGGGCATCTTCTGACTTATCTCTATGTTTTTAGAGCTGGTACAAAGCTGTGCATTCAGAAGGCAAGCAGTGTTTTCTCAATTAAAATTAAATGTAGCCAGGGCTACTTCAGACTGTGTAATTCCCAGTAGCCTCACCTGCTCTTGCCCCTGTAGTCTTATTTGGGCAATTCTGGGGATCAAACCCAGGGCTTCCTACACGACAGGCAAATCTTCTACCACTAAGCCCCACCCCAACCCCTCTTGCAGTCTTGATTGCAAGAAATGGTCCCTTCATACAAGATGTAATTTATTCACTTTTCTAAAGTCTTCTCCCTTTCTCTTTCCTTTAGCCAAGCACCTGTGTGCTACCTCAGTTAAATTATTAAATAATAAAGTCATCTAGTAGAATAACTAGTGGTTTACATCTAGTAGAATAAGGACGAGAACAGGTGGAATTCTGTGGATTGGTTTTGCAGCATATGACAGAAATAATGAAGATTTCCTTTGGTAAAATGTACATATGGTTAAAGGTAGAAATAAATTTGAGGGCCTAATAGTATTTTGTGGCTTGTGATATGAAAGTAAAACATATTTTAAACTTCTTATATAGAAACCTCAGTGCTTGTGGAGGCTTTGAAATTTGCGATGACATGGTAACTAAGGACGTCATGACTCCTCTGGTGGCACTACTAAAAGAGGTATGCAGTTTTTAAGGTATCTGAATGGCAGCTTCCAAACGTCGCTTTTTGAAGGCAAGCTAAGATGGACTTTTTTTTTTTTTAAGTACTTTGGTGTTCTTTGTCTTTCCTTAAAACATCCTACAGAAATTTTGTTTATTTTCTTGGAAACACTGATCTACTCTCATCATTGATCCCAATCTCTCTTATTTTGACCCTGTTTCCTTATATTTATATGATAATTGGAAAGGACCTTCCTAAAACTATGCAGATTTCTTATATCCATTTTTTAGACTTTAAATTTTATACAGTGAAAATAGTTAAGTGTGTGTTGATTGCATCTTATGTACCAGGTATGGTTTTTATGTTGTGCATGTTAATTTAATCCTCACAGCAATCCTGTGAGACAGGATTCTTTTTCTTGCAGTGCTGGGATCACACCCAGGGCCAGTGCATGCCAGGCAAGTGCCCTGCCGCTGAACTATACCCCCAGGCTGCAGCCGTGGATTAGTCAGCTTTTTGTTGTTGTAACCAGAATACCTGACAAGAACAACTTAGAGGAGAAGAGTCCATTTTGGCTCTCAGTTTAGAGGTCCAGTCCATAGTCAGCTGGCTTCATTGTTTGGGACCAGAACATCATGCCATGTTGACCACTCAGTCCATTCAAATCAGGATGGACTGATTAGCTATAACATTCATAATCCAGTCATTTTACCTCTGAATATTCCTGGATTAACACAGGAGTTTTGGGGGGATACCTTATATCCAAGCCATAACAGGCAGGTATTATATTATCCTCATTTTATAGATGACAGACCCAGGACACAGACTTTATGAACTAACGAAGATCGTATTGAGTTCTTATGTTTAATATCACACCATTCTTATCACATGGTATAGTTTGGTTGTTAAGGAACGCCTACTTTCTCACACACACACACAAACACACACTCACACTCACACTCTCTCTCACATTCACCCAGGGCCTTGTGCCTCCTACACAAGTGTATAACCACTGGGCTACATCCCCAGTCCACTATTCTATATTAACTATTAACTTTCATTTAAGGTTACCTAAAAGTTATCCTTTTTTTTTTTTTTTAAGATTTTTTTTTTCACAATACCTTTATTCTATTTATTTTTTATGTGGTGCTGAGGATTGAACCCAGGGACTCACACGTACTAGGCAAGTGCTCTACTACTGAGCTGCAGCCCCAGCCCAAGATTTTGTTTTGATGCCAGGCATCAGTATTATTTCCATTAGAGCAATGATGCTCGACTGGGGGTGATTTTGCTCCACAGGGAACATTTGACAACATCTGAAGACATTCAGATTGTCACAGTTTGGAGGGGAGGGGTAAGGGTTGCTGCTGCCATATAGTGAATAGAGGCCAGGGATGTTGCTGACCCTCCTTTAACGCAGGGGGCAGTCTTCTCACAACAAAGAATCATCTGATCCAAATATGGGAATGATAGAGGAGACTTAGATGGGGAAGCTCTTGTCATGGACTGCAGTTGCAGAGTGGTAGAGGGTGCCAGCTCTGGTCCGGCCTCACCACATGCTAAGCTGCACCCTCAGCAGCCTCCCAGCGCTCAGTTTCCTAGCCATCTGATGAGGTTAGGCATGCTAGTCATCCACCTCCAAGGTTCGCTGTGGGGATTAAATGACTTAATTGATATATGTCAGGTGCTTAGAATGGTGCATCAAGAGGTGCTATACAGATCTAGCTCTTAACATTTCTTTGCCTTTCTTACTGTTTTTTCACATAAGCTACAATACTTTATCTTGGTTTTGTTCTTGCATTTTAAAATGTGAATGTTTTCTATCAAGTTTGCCAATGATTTAAGAACCTTTCTTGTCCATATTTCTTTATATATGTGAATATATATATATATATATATGTGTGTGTGTGTGTGTGTGTATATATATATATTGTAGTTGGACACAATATCTTTATTTATTTTTATGTGGTGCTGAGGATCAAACCCAGTGCCTCACATGCGTGAGGCGGGCGCTCTACCAATGAGCTACTGCCGCAGCCCTCTGTCCATATTTCTTGCCAGAGGGAAGCAAGGTTGTGGGAGTGGTAGTGCTTCTGAGAATGGATAGGCTTGTTAACCACTGTCATTTCCAATGTTTTGTTTTTTGTGTTTCTTCACTATTTGTTTAATTATTCTTTTGAACCAGGGTGCTAATCATGATATTTGGTTGCAGTGTAGTGCTGGACTGGACTCAAATGAGATGTCTCCACAGGAGAAAAAAGATCAGAGCAAAAATTCTATTGAGAACATAGCCAATGAGGCTGTGAATGTGCTGTGGAATATATGGTAAGATGCTTTTCAAGTGTGCTGCTCCTGCTGCCAGGCTGCTCTGTGCTGCTCCCCTGGGTTAGGCCAGTGCATCCATGACGTATCGGGTGACCTGAGATCAACCCTCCTGCCCTCCTCTTCCTCATAGCTTCTGTGCACCTTTTCTCATTTTATATCTCATCCCTCCAGTTATCGCTACTGACTAAAATAAGAGGAGTCATCGCCATTAGCACCTGATGTTCCTCTCTCTGCCTTAGCTCCTTCCTTCCTGTCCCAGGCAGCAGTTGCCTTCACAGAGTCGCCCCAGTGCCTACCTGCTTTGGTGTCAGGAATGAGAGGAGGGCCACGAGCTTTGGTGCCTGACTCCTCTTTCCTGGCAGTGATCATTTGAGTGTGAAGTACATACACAAGAAGAGTCCTTTGGCCCCAGTGGGAAGAAGGCACTTTCCATTCCATGATTTTAGTGCCCCTGGGGTAGAGCATACCTGCTGCTAGGAATGGAAGTGGCTAGAAACAAACTGATTTGCTTTTTCTCCCCTTTTTTATGTCCATAATTATAACAGGTTTCTGTCATAGTTCCTTATTTCAGAAAGGCACAGGTGTTTCTTAGAATACATTAAATTGAATCCTGAAAAGCTGTCTCCTTAGCAGTCTGAACTTGGCCTGTGATTTCATCCTAAACCTGCCACGGGAATCCCAACAGAAATACTGGGGGATAGGATGTAAGGAAATGGCACTGGAGCAAACTGATGGGGGCTATTTTCTGTGCACCAGATAATTCATTGGATGATTGATGCTGGGTACTGAACCCAGGGTCTGGAGCATGCTAAGCGTGCCCTGTACCAAGGAGGTATACCTCCAACCCCTGTAAATCATTGACATGGAAAGTTTTTTTTTTTTTTAATTACTTAGAAAAATAGCCTGAATATAGTCTAAAGTGATTTCTCTTTCTCAAACACCTATGAGCCCTATCTTTATCATTTTGCAATAGAGATACTTACTCTCATAACAGTTACCTTCGAGTTAATACTTTTGTTTCACAGATTCTGTTTCACATTATCTTTACTCATGTATGCCTTGTTTTCCTGGCTTAACTTCAGTGCCACAATAATTAGAGGGAGGAAGGTAAATAGACAGACAGAAAATATTGTTCTTGGAGAACAACTTTAATGTAGTAATGCAGTCAGCTCTGTTGGCCCCATCAGCATGTCCTGTGTGTATGGGGTATGTACCGAGGAAACATGGGTAAGATTATTATAATCAGCTCTGTTTACCCTGTATTTAGTGTGTATGCTCATTAGTAACATTGATAGCTCTCTGATTCTTTTATTAAAAGGCAGTGTAATTTCAAATGTAATTATTTATTAGAGTAATTATCTCTGTTGCAGATTGCATATTCCACTTGATAAGATTATAATTGTAGAAGAAATGGATAAAATATAAATTTCTCTTAAATCTGTGCTTTCTGTATGAAAAGAAACCTTTCGTCCTTACTTGAACTTTTTTATTGTGCTGGCGTGGAAAGAATAGCAGGCTGGACCCAGGAAAACTGGGCCGTCACTGCCACTAATGAGATGTGTGATCTCCAGATAGATCCCTTTACCTTTTAGACCCTGGGTTTTCTCATCTGTAAAATGGAGAGTTGCATTAAATGACTTCTAAATCTCCTCCAGTCTAAACTGCTGTAAGGGAACTTCCATGGTAAAGAGATGGACTAAAGTCCATCCATGATGGAAGTAAACTAGACAACTAGTTTTCATGGGCAGCGAATATGAATGGGTATTTGTTACTTCATCTATCAAGTGGGGGGTTTTGACTCCAGCTCTTTGGTTCTGTTTTTCTGTGTGGGGGTTTCTGTGGTTGATTTCTTAATGTTAAAATGTGAATAGTAAAACTTTTTTTTCCCCCCTTCAATTTAGTGAATGCAGTAGTAGAGCAGTATCTATATTCAACAAAGAAGGGTGTTTGGAGATTGTATTAAAGTATTTAAGTAGGTTTTCCACCAATGTTGACCTGGCTATTTCAGTAGGTAAGTGAAGAAAAGGTGATGATTTATTAAATACATGTGTGACCGTATTCAAAAATTTGTACTCAGATGCAGCATGCTTATTCTGCAGGAGCAGTTTGGGTCTCATTGCATATGAATGTGTGGCTGAGGAATTCTGCTCTGAATCTTTTTAAATCTGTGATTAATTCTTTACTTACTCATATAATTCTGCTTTTTGCTGTGAAAAGGAGGAAGGTAATTATACGAGCTTATGTGGTTTCTAGACTGTTATTGCTCAAAAGCCTTTATTAAATTTTGAAATTTTATCTCCAATTATGAAAAACAGTAACCCACAACTTCCAGGCCTTTGATCCAAAGTTAATTGGAGTCTAAACTTACATAAATGTCTTGTAGCACTGTCTCACAGTCTGGGCAGAAAACTGATAGCCTGTGCTGTTTTGTTTTGTTCTTTTTGTTTTTTTGTTTTTGTTTTGTTTTTTGAGAGAGGAATAGAATGATTGAACTTTCACTCAGGCCTGCCCCTTTCATGGGGCAGGAGTACAAAGTCCAACAATTTCAACTGCCTTGGTCCCCCACCTTCTGTATGTTGGACTGGAGCCATGAGGGACCCTTGGCTCAGCAGGGTGGGCAGTTCTACAGCATTCTGGGTGAGAGCTGATGAAGAGCTTTGCAGGTATCCAGCTGTCCTTTTATTTAACTCTGCCTTTCTCCTGGCAAGGAGAAAAGCTCTCTGCTTCTCTTGGCTCTAATGGATAATACACACGCACGCACACACACACATACATATACATACGCACACACGCGCGCGCGCACACACACTGGAAATTGAACCCAGAGGTGCTTTACCACCAAGTTACATTCCCAGCCCTTTTTTAGTTTAGTTTTTTTTTTATTTAAACTGGTGATTACACTCAGGGGCACTCAACCACTGAGCCACATGCCCAGCCCTATTTTTTATTTTATTTAGAGACAGGGTCTCACTGAGTTGCTTAGGGCCTCGCTATTGCTGAGACTGGCTTTGAACCCGCAATCCTCCTGTCTCAGCCTCCTGGGTTGCTGGGATTACAATAGGCGTGCTCCACCGCACCTGGCCTTTTTTAGTTTTTTTTTTTGTTTTTGGGGGTTTTTTGTATATTTATTTTTCAGTTTTCAGTGGACACAACATCTTTATTTTTATGTGGTGCTGAGGATCGAACCCAGTGCCCCACGCATGCCAGGCGAGCTCGTTACTGCTTGAGCCACATCCCCAGCCCCCTTTTTTAGTTTTTAAGACAGGGTCTCACTAAGTTGCTTAGGGCTTTGCTAAGTTGTGGAGGCTAGCCTTGAACTTGCAATCCTCCTTTCTCAGCCTCCTAAATCACTGGGATTACAGGCATGCACCATCATGCCTGGCTCTAAGAGAAGAGAAAAAGGGGGAAAGAGTATAAATACTTTTGGAAAAAATTTAAAAATGAACTTTTCAAAATGGAATCTGGTAGGAGTAATTTTTTGTTTGTTTGTTTATTATTTATTTATTTATTTTGTGGTGCTGAGACCCAGGCCTTTTACATGCAAGCACTCTACCAACTGAGCTATATCCTTAGCCCTTTGGGGTAGTTTTATAAGTAAAATGAGGATTTCAAAAAACAGTTAAACTGTTTAGGAAATCTGTAGATAATTTAATCTTAGGATGGTTTTTATTATAAGAGAATTTTAGGAAAATGAATTTTTAAGTTTTAAAAGAAAAACTATCTTTGTACTTTTACTCTTGTAGAATTTTTGTTTGTTTATTTTGTTTGTTTATTCTTTTTCCTCTAGTGGGCTTTTTTGAATGTGTTGGAGTAAAGTTACTTTGTATTTTATTAGACTGTTTTCTTTTTGTATTTAACTAAAGTCATGATTATTTTTTAAAAATGTCTTTAGTTTTGTTTTAAAAGCTAAACAAGGCTTAGATGTGATAAAGTAAATTTATAAGATCCTATCCTGTATATTAATATAGCTTCTTTTGAACTTGTATTATGGTAGCATAATGTTTTGTAATGCAAGTTGTAATCCATTGTCTTGTTTTAATGTAAGAGAAGAAGTGCTAAATGAAATACACAGCAATTAATGTTTTACCCATCTCTCAGTTTGCTCATATTTTTATGAAAAATGATTTTTTTTCCTCAAAGAACTATCATTTCACTAGAAAGCATCCTAGCTTTTAAGATCATGATGAATTGAAAGGAAGCCAGAGTTTCCCAAAATTTAGGGTTTATTTCAAAAACAGAGCTGCAAGAGTTTGATCCATAGACTGGCATTTGGTCCATAAGCTGTGCACTACTGATCCAAGATAAGTATATAAATTGAGGTTAAACCATTAGAAACATTTATAATTATCAGAAATTTGCCACATTAGAGCCTTTTAAATTTTATTTAATTAAAGTATACATCTATAAAGAATTAGGGAAAAAAAGATCGTGTACTGCAGGGAGAGTTTGGAAGGCTTCATTTGCATTTCCCATTCTTGAGGTAAAATGTATGTATCCTACAAAGCTACATATATCTACAGAAGCTTTAAAGATGCACACTTTTGATGAGTTGTACTGGTTTAAATTATCCGAGTCATAATTCACTTGTTTCTAAGTATCACATTTTTGTCTTCTAGCACACTGTTTGCAGACAGTGACTGAAGATAACCCAGAGCTCCTGAAATCTTTCAGTGCTACAGCGTTGCAGGTGCTGGAATCGGCAATGCTCTGTCCTGTCAGTTCCATGGAATACATTCTATTAAAGACATTGGTAGCAGGTAACATTTAGCCAAATGAGACAGTGTGGGTTTTTTTGGTAACTTTTAATAGAAGTGGGACCCAAAGTTCAGTCTTTCTTTCATTTCACCACATTAGGATTTTCTGTGCTTACATCTGTCCTGAAATTGTATATTTAAGTGAAGACCCTTAATTCACGTAGTTGCCCATAGTTATGAAGTCTATTAGAAGAGATTTGTTTTGATTGTGACAAACTGCTGTTGTCTGATAAAGACATGTTCTATCAGCACCTCCTCTTAATTATGCACCAATGCATTAAGAGATTGACTCCAGGGGCTGGAGATGTGGCTCAAGTGGTAGCGCACTTACCTGGCATGCGCGGGGCACTGGATTCGATCCTCGGCACCACATAAAAATAAAAAAATAAAGATATTGTGTCCACCTAAAACTAAAAAATAAATATAAAAAAGAGAGAGAGAGAGATTGACTCCAGGTATCCAAGACACAGCCACTTACTTTTTCATGAGTTCTTCCTGCTCCCCTTTTCATCCCAGTATCTCTGAATACAGCAGTAAGAACCGCTCCGAGGCTCTTTTGAGTTAATGTATTGCATACAACATCTGTTTGTGTTTCCTTTTGCCCTCCCTTTGGTTTTGCAGAGGTCATTTTATCTAAGAGGTTTTTTGTGGGTTTTTACATTTTTTTCTCCCAGTTCTGGGAATTAACTACATCCCATACCCTTTTTATTTTTTATTTTGAGACAGAGTCTTGCTACGGTACCCAGGCTGGCCTCAAACTTGCTGTTGTCTTGCCTCAGCAGGAGTGCACCACCACATCCAGCTGTATGTGTATGTGTGTGTGTGTGTGTGTTTTTTTTTTTTGAACTGCGGTAAAATGTACATAATATAACATTTACCATCTCACCCAGGCATGGTGGCAAACGCATATAATCCCAGCAACTGAGGAGTCCGAGGCAGGAAGATAACAAGTTAAAGGCCAGCCTCAGCAATTTAGGGAGACCATGTCTCAAAAAATATAAAGGATTAGGGATGTGGCTCAGTGGTAAATCACCTGGATTCAATCCCCAGTAGCACCAAAAAGAAAAAAGAAAATTAAGACAGGGTCTTGCTAAGTTACTAAGGCTGGCCTCAGTGTTCTATTGCAATCATTTTTCAAAAACATTCATCTGACTACTTAATGGCAGCTCCTGTTCTGTTTTGATAAGCAAAATACCAGGAACCTGCTTTCTAGTTTGTGAGATCTTGGAGTTTTAGTGCATTCCGTTCCACTCTTGGAATATAAAAAGCTGCTCAGGAGAGCAAAAATGGAGTAAGATGAAAGAAAACAAGGCGACTCGGGTTTTCATTTCACCAGAAACCTGGTAGGCCTTCTCTGGGTCTGCTGATAGGTCTGAATTAGAGAAAGGCCTGTGTGCCCAGGCAGGAAATGAAGGTCAAGGGTCCTAACAAAGAGTGCCTGCTGCCTCTGTGTGGTACCTTTTGACAGTTAGTAAAAGCTGAACAAAGGGACTGGGGTCCAGACATTTCAAGATGACGCCTGAGCCTGGAGAACCAGTCTGTGGAAACTGGAGTCCCCATAAGACTTCACAGGCGAGGCCGTGTCCTTGTGCTCCTTTTTTCACAGGCACAATCTGGAATCTGAAGGACGTCATTCCGTCTAAGAGTCAGGCAGAGATCATAAATGCCATACTAAAGATCTTATCCGAAGTCTTGGAAATGGATGCTGGCGAAATAGTTATTCAGATGAAGGAGGCTGAAACTCAGAGATTAAAGACTGCGGCAGAGACTGAGGAAATGTTAAAGAATGTTAATGGTGATGATTTGATTGAAGACGTTGAAATGGAAGAAATTCCTCACAAAAGAAAAGTCAGAAGGAAAAATTTTGTTTCCGATTTACTTCCAGTAAGTCAGACTGATGCTCTAAAACATGGACTAATACAGCAGTTTTCTTTCAACAGGTTAATCCTTAGCTTTATAGAAAAGTACTGTAGCAAAGTGAACTATAGAAAGTGAACTTCAATAAAAGTTAGTCATATTTTCCCGTTGATTCTCATTAGAACATCAGAAGTCTCTCCCAAAGAGAGAGAGAAAAAAAAAAAAAAACTTTTGCCTAAATGAAATTTGCATGCAGGAGAGAATCTCAGATGAGACAGTCCAATTCTTTTGGAATGCTTCAGAAATAACCCAGTTATCGCAGTGGGGCACTCCTACGATCCTAGTTACTTGGGAGGCAGAGGCAGGGGAATTGCAAGCTTGAGGCTAGCTGCAGCACCTTAGTGAGGCCCAAAGCAACTTGGCGAGACCCTCTCTCAAAGTAAAAAGGGTCTGGGGCTGTGGCTCAGTGTTCAAACATCCCTGGGTTCAATCCCCAGTACCAAAGGAAAAAAAAAAAAAAAGTTGTCTTCCTAAATCTTGTGCCTCTCTCTTTGGTTCCACATTATCTCCCAGATTGTCTTCAAACTAAAGGAATTTGTTCTTTGCCAGATTGTCCCTTGTTTTCTGGTCTCTTTTATTTAAAAGTGTTTAGCCTTAGTAGAATGACAGGCCAAACCTCTACCCACTGCTGACGAGCAAAGGTTGGACGACTGTAGTGTGCCTCTGCTGGTGGGCATGATGTGGGGGTGAGGGTGAGTCGGGTTCAGGAATCATTTCAGCCAAGACAAACCTTCAGCAGACTTTGGGAGAACATTTATCTGGAGGAGGAAAGAAAATGGGCTGGAGGACAGAGGATCGGGCTTTATTCATGCACCGTTCAGGTGCTCATTGACTGTGCTCCTGATGGTGAGGATGGATGATTAAGACGTGGTTCCTGTCTTCAGGGACCGCTCCTCCGACTCAGGAAGACAGAGCCACACGGCTGTGGTCGTGAGGCCTGTGCTGAGAACAGTGACAGGGCCGGGCCTAGATTTCTGAGGGAGTGGTTTCTGTAGAGACATGCGACTCATCCCTGCCTGGAGCAGAGGAGGCGGCTGGCTAAGAAGGCTTTGGGGACAGAGTGCCTGCGCTTTATTGGAAGGCAAAGAGAGGAGCAGCCTGGTGAAGGCCCCTGGCATGGGTAGGAAGAGGGCATTCCAGTGTGCTGCTGCCCGTCTCCAGCCTGGCTCCCGGGGACTCCTTAAGGGAGTAAATATTGTTACGTAGAGCATTTATTTTTATATGAGTTTTTTTCTTTTTTAAATAGAGGGGCTCGGTGGTGGAGAACATGCTTACCATGTTTGAGGTCCTGGGTTCACACACACACACACACACAAATGTGCTCATAAAGTGCAGTGTTTACTTACAGCAAAACTTGCCTTTTAAAGTCTTGACCTACCTGAGTGGCCTGGCTGATTAACATGCTGGCGGTTCAGCGAGCCAGCATCAAGTGCCAGTGGGGTGCTAGCACCATGCTCACGCGTGCCAGGAATACAGATGTGGAGTCAGCTGTGGTCTTTTACGCTGCCTAGTGGTTTCTGCTGGAGTCTTTTAGAATCAAAACCCTTAATCACATCATTTAATCACATCATTTAATAGCATAGCCAAAAATATATAAAGAAAGCTGTTTAATGTGTTTTTTTTTAAACACATGCCAAAGTAGAGTACCCCCTCCCCCGTCCCCACGGTTACCATTGATCCTGTCGTATCTGTTTGATTTCATCTGTTTCCCACTCACTCTCCCCTTTCTCTGTGGTTACTTGAAAGCAAATCTCAGATGTCATAACATTTCATCTAGATTGATTCTTTTTGTCAGCTTGATAACAATAAGCAGAGAAATGTTCTGAGCAGCAGTTACATAAAGTAGAACCTAATTTCCTTCTGAGCCTCATCTTCAGGCATTCTACATACATGAGAAGAGAGCAACAAGTCTCTTTTAGCTTGAATCTACTCTGACAAAGGTTTGTTTAGTTGAACAATTTTATATACATTGTTAGTAGTGATAAATGGAACACAGATGTAGGAATCCATGAGTTACATCTATAAAATTAGAAAATTGCTGTTTTTTGTGTGCATATGTGTGTGTGTGTGTGTGAATGTGTGTGCATGTGGTGCTAGGGATTGAACTCAGGGCCTTGTCAGTGCTAGAAAAACACTCATATTACTGAGCTACATCCCCAGACCCTTTTTAAAATTTTATTTTGATTCAAGTTCTCACTTCTCACTAAGTTGCCTAGGCTGTCCTCAAACTTGGGATCCTCCTGCCTCAGCCTCCTGAGTAACTGGAATTACAGTTGTGTGCCACCCTGACTGAACCCCTCCTCTTCTTTAAAAGGACGTAGTTTAAAGTTGCAGTTAAATTCTTGGGCAAAGAAGTTGTTAGTGAAGTTTTTAAATGAATGGGAACATCTTGGAAAGGAAAATGGGATGGTGTCTAGGACTTATCAATGTGCTTTTTCCCTTGGATCCAGTATGTCTGTCTGAGGAATTAAGATATCCCAGTCCATTTGGCCATCCGTATCCACAGGGGATCGGTTGGTTTCAGGACCCTGCTTGGATTTCAAAATCCTCAAATGCTGGAGACCTGTATATAAAATGGCATCATTGTTGCATACAGCCTACGCATGTCCTTATGTGTGCTTTCAATAATCCCTAGATTATTTGTACCACTTAGTACAATGTAAATATTGTTGTTCTATTGTTTAGGGGATAATGACAAGGAAAAAGTCTGTACATGTTCAGTATAGTACAGTTTTTTTCCCCAAATTTTTTTTTAATAATTTTTTTTAGTTGTTGATAGACCATTATTTTATTTATTTACATGTGGTACTGAGACTCAAACCCAGTGCCTCACTCACACCAGGCAAGTGCGCTACCACTGAGCCCCAGCCCCAGCTTTTTGATCCAAAGTTGGTTAGGCAGTCACAATGACATATGCCTGTAGTCCCAGCTACATAGGAGGCTGAGGCAGGAGGATCAATTGAACCCAGGAATTTGATACTGGCCTTGGCAACCTAGTGAGAATCTATCCAAAAAGAAAGGAAGGAAGGAAGGCAGGTAAGTAGGTAGGTTGATTTGGCTAAATCTACAGAGGTAGAACTGAGAATCTGAAGGGTTATTGTAATCTGAAATATTTCATGCTATTGGAGCGAATGTTTAGTAAGTCACAGTGTATCTATTTAATGGAAGGTTACACAGCCATGAAGATGATTAGAACACTGCAGAAATTTAGAAACATTTTGACAATAAAGTATACATTGTGTTTAGTGGATACAGTCTTTTGGAATATCATTGTGTCTATTTCACTTTTCCATTGGTTATTTAAGAATTTAGGTCGTGTAAATTTAAGTATATAAATTTAAATACCCATTTTAAGAAATGTTAATTGGTGAAGTTAAATTGATGCTCTATATTTTCAGAGAAAAATGTCTTCCTCTTTTTTTAATCTTAAAGGAATATTTATTTTCATCTTCAAAAACAGCCAGGAAGCAAGCTGTGTGCTCCCTGGCGAAGCTCTGTTGGTCATATAAGGCTTTTAGCAGTGTTATTAATGCAGTCTTTCCAAGAGGAAGTCAGTGTCCTAAAGCAGGTTTGCTGTGTTTAAATGCCTGGTGTCTTAAATGAACTTTTGTTTTAATCTTAGTATTTTTGACTTCTTAACACATTAGATTAAGTTTCAGGGTGAATTTAGTTCAAAATTCCTAAATACCTATCTGTTCTCTCCAGCTCACTAAGCAACGCTTTAGAGAATAACCATGCAGATAGATGGAATCCCAGTTAACAGTGGCCTGCTTGACTGTGCCAAGGGAGTGAGAATGCTTGTTGGAACTTCAGTCCTTCATAGCTTTTCTTCTACCTACCCCACCCTCATATGCTCCCTTCCAAGTGCAAAAATCTTCTAGTAGGCTTTCGCTAAGAAAATTCATGCAAAAATAATTTGTCATCCCCCCTCTCCTTTTTTTTTTAAGCCCACTGACAAGGAACTGAGAGAAACCATAGCAGTGCTGACAGCTCAGCAGACGGCTCTGGAAATTGTCGTCAACATGTGCTTCAGTGAAGGTTTGCTCCCAGTTGACATGTAGACCTTTCCCCCAGGCGGGGCGGCTTCCAAGGGATTTCCTTTAGCATCCAGCTACAGGTGGTCTGCACTCTTCCCAGATCCCTCTGACGACGAGTGGGAAGAGCTTTCCAGCAGTGACGAGAGCGATGCGTGCATGGAAAACTCCTTCAGTGAGTGTGGGGGACAGCTGCTGTCCCCACTCTGCCTCTCCCATGAGATTCACTCCGCTCTCACCAACTGCTTCATCCCAAAGAAGGTAAGCCGCCTTCGTTCTGGGCTCTGACAGAGTGTGGGGAAGGTTTCAGAGAGCTGTGCATCCTGTGTGCACAAGCAGTGAGCCCACACTTCCAGCTTGAACAGAACCAGTAGGCCTGGAAATGGGCCAAAACATCATTCTTTCTTGATCATCCTCAACATTTTACTTGGAAGTAATGTGTAGAAGTTTTGTAAAGAAATCGTGTGTAAGATGACGATCTCTGACCTTTGCCCTACTGCCTTTTTTAAACCTAGGTTTTTGAGAAAACTGCCTCCCCAAACAATGTTGCACTTGACATATGTTCAAGGAATCCTACGTGGAAACCTTTGATTAGAAAGTAAGAACTTTATTTTTAATTTTTTTTTTTTTTAAAGAACTTTTCTATTTTCAAGAACGCTGGTCATGGGATGGGGTTGTGGCTCAGTGGTAGAGCGCTCGCCTAGCATTTGCAAGCCCTGGGTTTGATCCTCAGCACCACATAAAAATGAATAAATAAAATAAAGGTATTGGGTCCAACTACAACTAAAAAATAAATATTAAAAAAAAAAGTTGGTCAGGGCTGGGGCTGTAGCTCAGTGGTAGAGCACTTGCCTTGCATGCATGAGGCCCTGGGTTCAATCCTCAGCACCACAAAAATAAATAAATATATTGTGTCCATCTACAATTAAAAATATATTTTTACAAAAAGCTGGTCATTATGTGAAGTGTTAGAACATTAAATAAAAATTGCTAACTCCTCCCAAGACCCAGAAGTTCCTTATGGTTCAGGAAACGGTGTACATCAGAACCCTTCTGTGCGTGAACATTTGATTGGCAGATTAACAGCCCACTTTACAGTTCTTTGTGACCTGCCCACGGACCCCCTTGTACTTACAGATATTCCCAGTCAGACCTTGAAGCTTAGGTTAAAAGTTAACACTGAGTTCTGCTGGATAAATTTTAAAGAGGCGGCATCATTTCTCTTCGTTTGCAGAATGAACACTATTCAGTGTAGAGCCCTCGTGTGTCTTCAGAGTCTGGTGTCACTCCTGGATGTGGACCATCTGGGAGGAGTTCCAGCCCTCCAAACACTCGCACAGCACCTGTCACAACTTGTGTTTTCTCAGCCAGGTAAATATTTAGGAATTGATCAGAAAGACTACTGGGACAGAGCAGAGTTTTTAAGGGGCAGACCGTGGACTTTGTGATTGTGTGTTGTTTATCATCAATCCTGCAGAAACCTTCCAGTCACTAGCAGGCATGTGTTTATAGTCACCGGTGGTGAGAGTCAAACCAGGTGTGCCAGCAGGGATGGAGGGGGTGTTTTTCTTCTTTATTAGAGTTATAATTATTTCCAATTATGTCAGGACAATTAAGGCTGAAATCATAAATAACATCAGATTCTCATTAAGATATTTTGGCAATTCTGTATTTTTTTTTAATTATAGGAATTTAAATTTGACTGGGTAATACATACATTGTATGTGGAACAAAATTCAAAAATTATTAGAGGATGTAAAGTGGACCATGTTACTTACTCCTTTGTCCCAGCCGGTTTCTCTCCCAGAATCAAGTCACCATTTTCTTATATTTGGTTTCAGAAAGATTCTCTGGGACACTTGGGGAAAGGAAAAATGTGGGAAATGGTATAAAATCACACATAATTCTACACCTAGCTTTTATCAAACCTGTATCTCTCTCCAAACATTTTTGCAGTGTAGGAATTGAATCTTTTAATTTACAGGTCTCTGATAATGGATTAATTTCATTTGTACTCAGAAACCTAGATAGGGTAACATACCATGGTTAAACTTTTTTTGTGTGTGTGTGGTACCAGAAATTTAACCCAGTTCCTTGTATATGCTGGGAAAGTACTCTACCATTGAGGAAAATCCCAAGCATATATATATATTTTAATTTAACAGGATTTAACTGGTCCAGTAATGAATTGGGTAGCCTTTAGGACCAGTACAGATTCTGTAAGACTCCCTTATTGTTTTTTAGCACCAGGGATTGAACCCATAGATGCTTACCCACCAAGCCACATCCCCATCCCTTTTTATCTTTCATTTCAATAGAGTGTCTCACTAAGTTGCTTAGGGCACCGCTAAGTAGCTGACTTTGAATGTGTGATCCTCCTGCCTCAGCCTCCCTAGTCACTGGGATTACAAGTGTTCTCCATCACGCCTGGCTGTTTGTACAGGGTTTGATACATGTTCTTTAACAGATTTTCATAGTCTATTATAGTAGAATCCCATTTTAACTCGATCTCGTTCAGCTGGAGGAGCTCACACAGTCCCACTGAGCAGTGGCATATTGAGAGGCTTGTCAGCCTGAGCAGTGACTGTCGCTTCGTATTTCTCTCCCAACCTTCATAGAGACCTTGCATGTGGTGGAGGATGCTTTCACTGACCTTTGCTGGCATTCTGCCTCCCATCAGTCCAGCAAGATGTCCCGTGGGGTGGGAAGGAGGAGCCCATATTGCTGGTGCCCACAACCATCCACCCATTCTTATGGTCTGAGGCAGAGGGCAGGACTGAACAGGGAAGTCCACAGCCAGGGCCTTGGGTAAACAGGCCATACCCCAGACTTTGACTGCTTCCAAGCCCTGCCCAACCCTAGATCTACAAGCTGCCCGTCTCTTGCCTCCAAGCCATTTCTCAGTCCAATCAAGGTGCCACAGTCCCATTCCCAGCAGCAGGAGGAGTTTGTTTCAAGTGAAGTAAACGCACCTGCCTCAGCTGGACAGGAACGCTTAGATGTGTTTGTCCTGCTTGTCTGGCTGCGTGCACTCATTGAGCTGCACATTCATCAATGCACAGACCATAGGAAAACCACACCAAGCTGAGTCCTGGAGAAGAAGGGAGTGTTTTGAATTGTGGGGAAATATAACTAAGCACTTCGATCTTAAATTAATTCCAGTTTCATGACTTTTCGTTTTTGTTTTTTTGTGGTGCTGGGGATTGAACCTAGGGCCTTGTGCATGTGAGGCAAGAACTCTACCAACTGAGCTATATCCCCAGCTCCATCTTTAAAAAAATAATAATAATCTTTAAAAAAAAGTTCAGAAATATGACGTGCTGCTAGGTTAAGAACATATTAATATTTCCTGAGAGCTATAATGTTATTTTTATAGAAATCACCTACTGCAGGTCACTGTCACATCAGTAGTTTTGAAAAGCTCCCTATCTAATGATGTGGGCTCCATTATTCCCGGTGATTTGTAATTTTAATTGATCTCCCGTGTATGAAAGGGTTTGGATTGCAAACGGGGAAGGTTGTTGCTGGGGAAAGATTGCCATTAAAATGTCTCTGGACTGCCCCCATTGCTCGGAGTCTATCCTTGTATCCTATCTGTGGCTTTTGTATCCCTTAATATTGGTATTCAGAGAAATGGAATTAACAAGTGGTTCAGAAATAATAATAGAGCTGGGTGCAGTGGTACACACCTGTGATCCCAGCAGCTCAGAGGCTGAGGCAGGAGGATCGCAAATTCAAAGCCAGCCTCAGCAACTCAGTGAGACCTCAAAGGGCTGGGGTTGTGACTCATTGAGTAAGTGGCCCTGGGTTCAATCCTTGGAACCAAAAACAAATAAATAATAATAGTTGTTATTTGTTTTGGAATAGCAGTAAATTTTCTTAGAATAAAATCTGATTTAAAAAACAATCACACAGTATTGAGACAAGATATTCTAATGTAGTCCTTCTAAACCTTTGGGATTTATTAAATAATGTAATCCTAGAGATTCTATATAGATGCTGTGAACCGTTATTGGAAAAGTTTTGGTGGCGAGGACGGGTTAAATTTCTCTACTTAGAGTTAAAGGTATGAGGTTCATATAACTCTATCTAACTTATCCCCCCCCCCCCAGTTGAAGATGGGCACAGTAACTTTATTTACTTATTTATTATGTAGTACTGAGCCTGGAACCCAGTGCCTCACACATGCTAGGCAAGTGCTCCACCACTGAGCTACAATCCCAGCCCTTCTTTTTTTTAAATGTTTTTTTTAGTTGTCGATGGACCTATATTTTTTATTTATGTACTTATATGTGCTGCTGAGAATCGAACCCAGTGCCTCACACTTGCTAGGCAAGTGCTCTACCACTGATCCACAACCCCAGCTCCTCTATCTAACTTGTTTTAACTTTTGGTTTTGGTTTTGGTTTTTGCAGTGCTGGGGATCAAACCCGGGCCTTGTGCATGCTCAGCAAGTGCTCTTCCACTGAGCACTACAGCCCCAGCCCTGGCTTGTTTTATTTTTGATACTAAAATACAGAATACAGACCTGAATAGCTACAGAATTTGTGATTCTCTGTACATACCTACATTATATTTGTGGCTGACATCAAGGATAAAAAGTGTTTTTGTAGTATCTTTGTCTCCTTCATTAAAAGCTGTTGATTTTCAAAACATCAGATCCTTAGCTATGTTGTGTCTTTGTATTGGGTCAGTTGGTCAGTTTTGCTCCATTACGTGAGTTCTAAAATCATTTAGGGTTTTCTGTTTTCTCAGATTCTGGTAATTAGAAAGTTATTTTTTTGGTTAGAATGGAGGTATCCCATCTGGGATGCCTTTTCAGAATGCTGAAAGTAAGTCTGAAAAACTCACAAATACAATTTGCTTCTTGATTACTCCTAGGCTGATTATTTACCTACATTTAGACCTGCTACACATTCTTAGATATTGCGTAGCATTCTTGAGGGGAAGGACATTTTGAATTAACCTCTTGTCTAACTTTTGTCGTTTACCTAATTTCCCTGACAACATCATATCTGTTGACCTTTTACTGAAAATTTAGCTGAAAACCAAGGAGGTTTAAAGTGCCTTCCCCAAATCTGGATATTTGGCCAAAAATATGAATTAAATAAAAATCGCCCAAGCATTTTCCGTAAAGTGCAAATTATACATAATGTAAAATGGTGTTTAGTTCAGATTATCATTCTAGATCTAAGATAATGTTATTTTCCTGAGAAAGAATGAGAAAAGATTGAATCTGAGATTTTTTTTTTTTTTAACTGAGTAAGTTTATCATGACACAACTGTAGCTTAATTGTTTTATGTGGAGTTTGTGAATTTCTAGGGCTACTCTTGGAGCATTAAACAAGAGCCAATATGGTAACTTCTTAAAGTTAAATAGTAACAACCTCACATGAATTTTCAAGAGCCTATTATAGGTGCCAAATGTTAGGAGATATGCTTTATTGTCCCCTTTTCCTGGAGAGGAAGCTGAGATTTAGAAAGGTTACGGGGCCTCTTCAGATCATTCGTGGTTTGGCATATGTTCATTGAGCACTTACTTTATGCCGTACACTATCTAGGTCCTAGGAATAGTGGTCTGAAGAGTTAGGCAGGGGCACTTGTTTGTGGAGCTTGCATTCTGACATAATGTTTAATGTAATTTCAGCTATAAAGAAAAAATTAACAGCAGAGTGGTGTGAAGTGCTGGGCTAAGCAAGTGCAGAAGTCCTCTCTGAGGAGGTAACATGTGACCTGAGACCAAAGTGAAGTGGCAAGGGTCACATGTCAGGCAGGACTTCATCCCCGGCCTATCTGATCCTAAATCTATCCTGTTCTATGGCCTGTGATAATTATAGGAAATCCCCTACTTTGGTGCATAATATAAAGGACCAAAAAATTTAATAAGCTTTAAAGTTTGTGGGAAGGAGCCAAGCATGGTGGTGTGCACCTATAATCCTCTTGACTCAGGAGGCTGAGGAAGAGGATTGAAATTTGAGGACAGCCTCAGCAACTTAGTAAGACCCCAAGCAACTTAGCAAAACCCTGTCTCAAAATAAAATAGGCTAGGGATATAGTTCAGTGGCAAAGTGCCCCTTGGTTCAATCCCTAGTGCCCCTGGGGGGGAAAAAAATTGTGGGAAGTCACCTCTTTATCTCTCACCCAGGCAACCTAAAAGGGGGTCAGAACTGGGACAGGGTCCCAGACACCACAAGATTTCTATTGCTATACGACAGACTACCCCAAAATGTTATGGCTTAAAACAACAATAATCAAGCTGGGCATGATAGCTCAGGAGTTCAAGACCAGCATGGGCAACATAGTGAGATCCTGACTCAAAAATCAAACAACCAATTTGTTATTTCACTGTTCCTCTGGGTCGCCCATTTAGGGTACCATGGACATTGTTTGTCTCCATTGATGTCTAAGGCAGTGAATCTCGACAGAGACAATTTTGCACCACCACCTGCAGGGGACATTTGGCAGTGTCTGGAGGTATTTTCGATTGTTACAACTTGGAAGTTGCTAGTGGAATCTAAATTATTTAGTCCAGGGATGCGATAAACTTCCTACAGTGCACAGGAGACCTTGTGCCTACATGACAGAGCATTAGTGATCCTGTCCCAAGTATCCATAGTGCTGAGATGGAGGAATACTAATCTAGGGCCTCTGCTGGAAACCTTGAGGGTTCAGGGCCACATCATTGGAAGTTTTTTACTCATCTGAAATTTGGTGCTAGAACTGGGAGGCAGAACACCCACAGATGACCCCTTCATGTGACCAGGCTTCCTCACAACATGGTGGCCCAGCTCCAAGGGCTAGAGTTAAGGGAGAAGAAGGTCATAGAAGCAAATGACTTCCATCGGACACACACGAGTCATTCGCTTTTTATGCCCCATCCTGTCATTTGTATGTTTTGTTTTTGAGAAGTCAGAGAGTCCTACCCAGACTCAAAGAGGGGAGTAACAGACTCCACATCTTTATTGGAAGTGGCAGGGCTCCAGGAGATCACGCAGAACTGGGAATACTGCTGAGGCCATTTTGGAAAGTACAGTCTACAGCACCAAGGGAATTGCTTTCCTTTCCTATAAAAGGGGACAGGGAGCCAGCTTGCTGCGCGACCCTCCCTGGCCTGTATGTGGCTGTGTTGGCACAGTTGTTTATGGCTGCTCTTGGGTCTATCCTGCATGGCCAGAAGGGACAGCTAGAAAGAAGTGGTGATGAGGAGCAGGAATGTGAAGGAGAAGGTGGGTCTCTGCGCAAGCAGCAGTTCTTCCCTCCGCTGTGGGCTCGGTGGACAAGGAAGCACTGGACAAGGAGGTGACTGTACCACAGGTGTGCCCAGCGCCATGACGGGGCTCTGCAAAAGGCTGGACTCGGTTCACGGCACTGGCTCAGGCTCATCATGTGCCAGAGCGTGGATCACATGAAACCCAGAGCCCACAAGTCGAGGACCGTCTGTGGGACACACCCTTGCTGTGACAGTTCCGCCATGCCCTAGCTTGTCATTTATATGTTTCATTGTCAGAATTGGTGCACACTGTACTTCTGGGCTTAAATACCTAGATTATTTTTATTAATCATAGTTGATGAATACTTAACATGTTCTGTTTTGATCCTGTTTCTTTTTCTACAAAATAGCTTGTCCTGGAGAAAGAGAAGACTTACATTTTATCTTCATGTTTTGTTTGTGTTTTAGATTTTGCTAAACACGATGACTTTCTGGAAGCCATAAGTGGTGCCTTGCGGGCCCTTTTACAAACAATGGCCTCCAAAAACATTTCTCAGGTAAGAGTTTTAAGCTTTTTTATGTGAAACTTAAGAAGATTCTGTATTATGAAGGTGAAATTAACTAATTTTTTAAAACCCTTATTTCTATTACAAGAGTAATGTACAATCTTAGTAAAAAGAAAACAGAAATGCTTGAAATAGAATGTGAAGCAATACACACAGGTGCTTTTTTTTATTGATTTAAGTTCTTGTTGGATATATATGTTGAAAATATTTTCTGAATATCGTTGGCTTTGGTTTTTTTTTTTTTTTTTTTCTTTTCCTTTTGTGGTACTGGTGATTGAAGATTGTGATCTTAGGGTTTTTAAAATATGGATTCATATTCTTCTTTCATGCAAAAACCAATATTTACATAATAGGAATCCCTTCAGATTGGTTTCTGTGTCTCTTTGACATGGACTCTACATTCAAACCCTAGATTTTTGATCATTTTTTCCTTTTCAAGTTAAAGAAAATGTCTCAGACTCAACTTGTAATTTTCCTGCTTAAAACGTGAAAATATTTTTCTAAAAGCCCTGATTTCTTTAGTGGAAAACTGAATTTTGGGGGTTTATGGCCACCATGTTGTCATCACTTTTAAGCCTTTTTGTTGAAATAGCCAGGGAATAGCAAAATAAAGTTCACACTGGTATTTCCAGGTTAAAGAAGAAGGGTATGGTGTTTTGCTCTGTGTGTGTGTGTGTGTGTGTGTGTGTGTGTGGTGGTGGTGCTAGGAATGGAACCCAAGGCCTTGTTCATGCTAGGAAAGTGCTGTACCTCCCCACCCTAGAGTACTGTGTTTTAAAGTTGCTTGAAAGAATTCTGTGTATGCTTATAATAAAGTTAGCTGTAGTTTTCACTTTTATAAATAAGGGGTGAATATTACTTTTGTGTGTGCTTGTGTGTGTGTGTGTGTGTGTGTGTGTGTGTGTGTGTGAGAGAGAGAGAGAGAGAGAGAGAGAGGATTAAACTAGGCATGCTCTATCACTGAGCTACATCCCCAGCCCTTTTAATTTTTTATTTTGAGACAGGGTCTCACTTGGGTTGCTCAGGCTGGCCTTGAATTTGCAATCCTCCTGTTTTAGGCCCAAGTAGCTGAAATTATAGGCATGCACCACTTTGCCCAGCAAAAAGGAATTACTTTTTTGTTAGCTTTGTTTTTTTCTTTTTTAACACCCCTGGATTTAATTTAAAAAAAATTTTTTTAAAAAAAAAAACACCTCAAAATAAAAAACAGAATGATAAAGTCTAAAAAGGTAGACTATACTAGGCACGTGCTTTACCACTGAGCTATGCCCCAGCTTTAAATATCTTCTCTTTTTTTGTGGTGAAACATCAAATTTGCTGTTTCATCCATTTTTAAATGTACACTTCAGTGGTGCCAAGTGTGCACTACTGCGTACCCATCACCACTGTCTTTACACGTTTCTCACTTTGCCAAACTGAAACTGAACCTATTACACACTGACTCCCGTCTGCCCTGCTCTCTGGTAACCACTGCTCCCCTTTCTTGTCTGTGATCAGGTAGTCTGGGTGCGGTTTCTCCTTGATACAGCTAGCATATATCAGAATCTCACTCTTTTTTTTTTTTTTTTTTTTATACAGTACTGGTGATTAAATCCCGGGGCGTTCTACCACTGAGTTACACTGGCAGACTTTACTTTTTCAAGATTTTGAGATAAGGTCTCCTAGTAGTGCAGCTCTGGGGCCTCCTTTTCTCCAGTGACCTTGTCTTTGATCCCTCCAAAGCCACCCTTTAGAGCAGTGCTTCCCAAACCTTATCAGAGTTTAATGGGAATGATGTTTTACTATTAAATATAGCAGGTGCTATTGAGTTCATGTTAGTATTGTACTTATTATTTAAAAAGGTTTCTTTGTATGTTTGAGGATTTTTTTCAAGGACATAATTTTGGGCCCTCACTTTTTATGAAATGGAAATGCTGATAATACATAGTCTGACATATGGCTTTTGGTGGGGATCAGATAACCTTATAACCTTATAGGAATACAAAGTGTTTATTGATTTTTCCATATTGTACAGATATCATTTTCTGCATCAGTCTGATAATTTTAAAAAAATTACTCAGTTTATGCTCAGTTAATGGTAATCGTTCATACATATTAAGATCTTGAATTATTAGGTTAGTTGTAGTCAGCTTTTCATTGCTGTGACCAAAAGTCCTGCCAAGAACAATTATAGAGGAGGAAAAGTTTATTTGGCACACGCATGGTTTCAGTCCATAGACCGCTGGCTCCATTGTTCTGTGCTCAAAGTGTGGCAGAACGTCATGGCAGAAGAATATGATGGAGGAAGGTGGCTTAGAATATGACATCAAGAAGCAGAGAGAGAAACTCGCCTCCCCAAGGACAAAACATATACCCCAAAGGCTAACCTCCAGTGAGTCACCTCCTCCTGCCACACCTTGTGTGCCTATAGTCACCACCTATTGGGATTAATGCACTGATGAGGTTAAAATGCTCTAGCCCAGGCCTTTCACTGCTAAACTTTCTTGCAGTGTCTCACATATGAGCTTTTGAGGGACATCTCATATCTAAACCGTAATGTTTGTATACCGCACATGAGCATAAAGTGTTCAAACCGGAAGAACTCTGATTCTCCCAAGCTTCGCAGGGAGAAGAAACCAAGAACTTATTTGCTGAGTGCCAGCAACCCTTCTGAAATTCAGCTGCCTGCTTCCTGTCCTGTTCTTTACCTTGTTGGTTTGTACACATTCCGCAGCTTCTTCATGAATCACCTGTAGTGGTGCAGCTTGTCTTTATGATTCACAGCAGCCTCGTCCCAGCCATGAGGAACCTATAGTGCTAGCTTAGTTGTTGTTTTGGTCACCTTCTCACTGCTGGGACCAAAAGTCCTGACAAGAACAGTGATGCCGCTTTTGACTTATGGTATTTTCTGAGAGCCTGGCCCATTGTCTGTTGCCCGTAGAGTAGGCAGAAGCAATGCCCATGATTGAGAAATGAGTATGAGTTTAGAATTTATAAATTTCACAAATAATAACTAGTGAGTGTTTTACATGCATCATTTACCCCTGTCACAACTGTGATGAAGACTTTTATCACCCTCATTTTACCAATGGGAAAATGGACTGCCAAGTGGGAGTGAAGCTAGGATTGGAGCCTGGGGTGTCTGGCTCCAGATCCAGGCTCTTCATCACCACCCTGTGCTGCTTCTCACCAAAGATTGCCTATGTCCCGACAGTCACGCTTTTTCATGGTCCTTGTGCCTAAATGTGTGCTCATGTTAGATTTAACTCCTAGGCACAATGGCGCATATCTGTAATTTCAACAACTCAGGAGACCGAGGCAGGAAGATCACAAGTTCAAGACCGGCCTGGGCAATCTACAAGACCCTGTATCAAAATTTTTAAAATAAATAAATAAATAAAGGACTGGGGCTGGGGTTGTGGTTTAGTGGTAGAGCCCTCTCCTACCTTGTGTGAGGCGCTGGGTTTGATCCTCAGCACCACATAAAAATAAATAAATAAAATAAAGATATCGTGTCCCTCTATAACTAAAAAACTATATAAAAATAAATGAAAAGGACTGGAGATGTAGCTCAGTGGTAGAGTACCTCTGGGTTTACTCCTCAGTATTGAAAAAAAATTATCTTAAACTGAAAATTACCACCACTTGGTGGAAGCACTGTGTAATATCAGTCTTTAATACTTTATGACAAAACATATTAAAATTCTTACCTTGTATAGGTTCAGCCTATTTTTTAAAACCTACATGATTCTGTTATACTGTCAAAACCTTTATGATCAACATTAAAAGGGAATTAAGATCTCAGTCTGTGTACATCTGGAATGAAAGTCTTCAATGAAACTAATAGGACCTGAAGCCCCTCTTGTAGATTGGATAATGACAGTGACGTGAACGGGCTCGTCTTAGCTCAGAATTGCCAGCTGTATTTGGGAATGATCAGAATACATAATAACTTCTCAGCCAGGCATTCCTACCGCTCCCGGCACCATACAGCTATAGAAGAGATGCCCATCAGCCCTGGCTTCTCGTGCTACTGGATTTGGTTGAGTCTAACCCTGGGAATGCTCCTCTGCTCTTCCAACAGTGCATGACACCTGATCAGCTGATGGCGTTCTGCAAGGCAGGCATTCACAGTAGCAACATCGGGGTCAGAGTGAATGTCGTTAGCATTTTAGGAATCACAGGCAGTGTCCTCGCCAAAGAAGCTGGTACGGTTGAAACTCTTAAGGTAAAACAATTTGCTTCTAACCTAAAATGTTAAAATTTTAGAAATGGAAGAAGTGTATCTGTTGGTGTAGGATTTTAAAAACTTCTGTAGCATGATGAGAAGATATCATGTCAGAAAGTTGCTAAGTTATATTATTAGAATGTGCCCTTTGGCTTGCTCTAGCTACGGGTATTAGCTAAGTATGTAAAATGTTGAGCCTCATTTTGTCATTTAACTTTACTCTGGAGATACCTTTTCAAAAATAAATTTGTCTTCAGTGAAAGACCAAATGCAGAATTTTTAAAGATGTTATATTTTCCTGCTGATGAAAATCCACCTAATACATTTCTGAGAAATACAAATAATTAATCACTCCACAAATTACAAACAGCAACTCTGGTAGCACCAGCACAATAGGAATTCACTGGACATGTTTGCTTTCAGCACTCAATCTCAGCACAGTTGCTCAGGAACTGCCCTGCTAGGGGTACGGCATCACTCAACGGTCAGCAGTAGTGAAATGACCCTTCATTGCACTAAAAACTGCTGGAGTGCTGATTGCTGACTAATGGTTGATAAACTGTTTATATAAAGCACCTCTTAACCTGCTAAAAACTTTATAGTGATGACGAATTATTTTAAGCATCCCTTCAGAAAAATGATACATGAACATAGCAAGAAATTTCAAACAGTACAACAGTATATAATGAAAAGATTGACCTCCACTTCTAACAGTGCCCCCATTTGCCACTGTTATCTGTTCCTTCTGTATCCTTCCAGAGATGTTTGATAAATGTGCACACAGGTGAGAGTGAGCCAAGCTTGGCTACGTGGCATGTGTGTGCTACACACAGGTGAAATGGGGGTGTGGGGTTGCTCCTTTGCCCATAAGACTGGCTGCCGAGGTCCATTCTAGTTGAACAGCAAGTTTTTCTCAAATATAAAGTTTTAAAATGTTCTTATTTAGTCATGTTTCCAAATATGGGGGATGAAGGGTAAAGAAAAAGTACAATGAGTTGTGTGCCCACAGCAGAGTTAACAGTTACCATTCAGTCCTGTACTCTTCATAGAGTCTCTGCTGGATATGTTAAAGTCAATGAAAGGCAACATGGTATTTGGCCCCTGTGGCTCAGTAAGCATCTCCTAAAAATAGGGATAGTTCCTTATGTCATTATCATGCCTCATACAGTTCACAGTTATTTCTTAATATGTCTAATATCTGTTCTGTGTTCATAATTTTCCAGTTGTCTTGGGAGAGACCTATTTAGTTTATGTGAATCAGTAAATTCCATATGTTTGATTTGGGATCTTCTCTGTCTCTGTTGATCCAGAACATTTCTCCCAGCAATATCTGCTCTCGGCTCCTGGATCAGTTAACAGTGTTCAGTTTTCTTGATTCATCTGATGGTTTTCTCACGGGATTGGGATTCTTCCTTTATCCTCTGTATTTCCTGGAACTTGGAGCTAAACCTGGATTCTATTCACATGAATTGTTTTTAATAAGACGACTTCATAGGTGGTTCTGTGTGCTTTGTTACATTCTAGAACATAACATGTATACACTCTCTTAGAGGTTATGTAGACCTCGTAAATTTAGATGAGAAAACTGAAGCCTGGCGAGGTTGACTAACTGTCCAGCAGTCACCCTGTTACTTAGGGCACAGCTGGACTTTGGGCTCAGTGTCCTGAGCATTTCTGTCCCCTCCCCATAATGCTGGATTGCACACCACCCTCGAGGCATAAAGGGTGATGCAGAGTAGCCAAAGTAGAGTGAGGTTACCCTGGGACAGTCCTTTGCTAGCTAATCGTGCGGGGAGAAGGAAAGAATGGATGCTAAAAATCAACCAGTAAATAAAGCAAAATGAGATAAAGTGTTGGGTTATTTTTTTAATTATCCTAGTGTTTTCCACATACTTTTAAAAGCAGGTTTTTTTTTTCATTACAGATAAGATTTCTATGTATTTTAACACCATAGAGAATTGTATTTGAGAGAGGGAAAGAGAAATTTAATGATTTCCAAAATCAATTTTTCATGTCATTTATGGGTCTTCATTCACTTTACTTAGGAACCATAATATGTTTAGTTTATCTTGCTGGTGTTATAATTGGTATATTTATAAGTATTTGTAAAGTGTTTGGTCGTTTAAAAGTTTTCATTTCTCCCCTGGTGTTTTATAGAAAACAGTGTGTGTGAATCATTGCCTCATTTGAAGTTAGCATTCATCTGGAGGCTGACCTTAGTCATGTTGTAATGTGTTTGCTGTTTTCAGACCACTGGGCGCTTTCTGCTTGAGGTAGCCACCAAAGATCCCTCCCTTGTGGTAGCAGGAGAAGCTTTGGATGCTCTCTTTGATGTTTTTGCAGATGGTGAAGAAGCTGAAAAAGCCTCGGTTCAAATTAAATTGTTATCAGCTCTGAAAGAGTTCCAGCCAGTCTTCAAGATGAAGGTTTGTAGCTGTCTTATATGAGTGCACGGGTCTCGGCATTCTCTGGGAAAGAGGGTGTGTGTAGTTAGCACCTTGCAGTTTAGAGGCCTGTGCCTGTCGAATTCCTGTAAATCTCAGTGATTAACATTGCAGTTCATCCCCAGTACTTTGTGAAATGCTTCTTGACTGAGTCATAGCTCCACACCGACTGTTGAATCACTGTAATTGGAGCCAGAATGACATCTGACAAGTTCCTCATTTCTTTAACACGTTAGTACTGTTAAAATTCTCTATATAGCCAGGAGTGGTGGCACACGCCTGTAGCCCCAGCTACTTGGGAGGCTGAGGCAGGAGGATTGCCAATTTTGAGGCTGGTGGGGGCAGTTTGGCAAGACCCTAGCTCAAAAAAAAAAAAAAAAAAATGTTTTTCAAAAGGACTGGGGATGTAGCTCGCTTATAGAAAGCTTGTCTAGCATGTGTGAGGCTCTAGGTTCAATTCCCAGTACTGCAAAAGGGAGGGGGTCTTCATATACATAAATGCTGTAGTTTATACCTAACAAAGCACTTTCATGTACATTTTAAATGTATTTCATATCATACAGTACATCAAATCTTGATTTTATTATTATGGATATTTTCTTTTGAAAAGAGGCAAACTCCAAGTCCTCCTATCCTGGAGAAAGTAGCTATTACTGCCTTTATTAGCAATTTTATCTATTTATTGTGTTTATCACAAATAACAAACCTAACTTTGAGTCAAAAATAATTTCAAAAACCTTTGGTGGGGACAGGTAGGACAGCAGCCAGGATCTTTGTGTATGTGCGCTTGTGGGAGCACTACAGATTGAACCTAGAGCCTCACTCATGTTAGCAAGCACCTGCTCCTCCACTTTGATACACCTCCACCCTGTAGGCATTTTAAAAACAAGTTGAATCATGTGTCAATCTTTTATCTAAATCTCAATTTTAAAATTATGTAATTCTGAAAAAATACAAATATTTATCATTGTATATTTTAGGGTGTTTTTTTTTTTCCTTTTTCATAGTGCTAGGAATCAAACCCAATGCCCCAAGCATGCTAGCATGAAATTCTAGTACTGAACACATTTCCAGCCCAATATTTTAGATTTTAAATTAGACATTTGCTTCTGTCTGTTCAATCTATTGTTCAAATTGATTTGTCTACTTAGTCTGCTTTGCTGCGGTAATTACATTTCTCACTATTTCTTTTCTCAAAGGTATAAAGCCCTAATGAAATTTTTTTTGTTAGCTGGAAGGCTAACCTACAGTTTTGGGGTTTTGATGTTTTTTGTTTTACAGTGCTAGGAACTGAACCCAGGGCCTCGTACATGCTGGGCAAGTGCTCTACCCCTGAGCCACATCCCCAGCCCTCACCTGCAGTTGCTTATGTGAAGCCCTTTTGTGGGAAACCAGCCACAGTTGCATTGAAAAATGTTTAGTACCTATTTAGCCTCAAGTTGTATTTAAATATAATACCATACATTCTATTAAGAACTTCAATAGAGCAGTGTTTCTCCAAGGTGCCCTCTTTTTCTTTTAAATACATGTTTTTTAGTTGTAAACGGACATAATACTTTATTTTCATGTGGTGCTGAGGATCAAACCCAGTGCCTCACGTGTGCTAGGCGAGTGCTCTACCTCTGAGCCACAACCCCAGCCCCCAAGGTGCCCTCGTGAAGGTACCAGCAGCACCAGCAGTACCACGTGCCTTGTTGTTAATGTGGATTTTCAGCCTCACCCTCAGACCCTCTGCATCAGGAACTCAGTGGATGGCCCACCAACCCATTTTTTTAAACAAACCTTCCGGGTGATACTGTTACACACTAGAACTTGAAAGCTACCTGTCTAGACCAGAGGTGAGACATATCTCACATGCTGTAAAACTCAGTTTTTAAAAGTCTAGAGTTATTTTTAAAAGTCTTGGTTATTTTTGTAACTATCATTTTAAAGATGTACATTTTAAATTATCTTTATTCTTCATGTTCTGTGTTCTGTTTACCTTGGAACTAAAACTGTTTTACCACATTCTTGCAGCAGTCTTATTCAAAAAAATGATTAAATATACCCCAAATGAAATACTTTTAAATAAATTTTTTTTTCACAGATACGAAAAGAAGGGAGAGGTAAATACAGTCCAGATCAGCTATGTGTTCTCGACAATGTGAAGATGAATTTGAGAAGGTTTGTTGCTTATCAAGAAACTGTTGAGAAAAGACTAACTTCTTGAACCACGGGAAGAGAGATCCGGGCTAGAGGATGGAGCTCCGTGGAGAGCACTCGCTTAGATGTGCAAGGCCCTGGGTCCCTCTCTCCACTGCAAAGAAGAGAGACGGGGAACGACAAGTTCTTCCTCAAAGTATTTTTGGCTGAGAATACTAAAGGGATTCCTTTATATGTTTCTTAGAGGCCTTTTTTAATGCCTTTATTCTGAACATTAATTTGAGGTTCATAAAAACTTCAAATCCTGTCAGAAACTCCTGGTTAAGCCTTGAGATCCCCGAGCATTTCTGATGTGCTCACTGTTGTCCCCAGTGTGTTGTCATCACTCAAAACAAAACATGGAAATGCAGCTCAGCCTCAGGTGGTTCTTAACTACAGTGTGAACAGGAATGAAACCTCAATATTATTGTCCTTGAATTTTGCAAGAAAGGAAAGCCCAGATCATTGCTTGGGTACTTTATTAAAGCCTGTATTACTTTATATTAGCTGAATCTATAACTGAAATATGAAGACAAACTTTGCAAAGTATTTTTTTGGTATGAAGTAGTATGTACCAATTATGAACTTTTGTGAAGAAATTAATGAACTGAGTTTGTATGTTACCCTCCAAAGATTGTACTGATGAGCTAAATGAGGTGATCGCCTTCCTCTTAAACAGGAAGGTCTGATCAGCTATTGTTTTGTAACACTGCCCCTTGATTTAATTTGATATAGAATGAGAACTGGTAGAAAATATTTTTGAATAAATGACTTTTTAATTGAAAGCTTTGTGTCTTACAAAACCTTTTTTACAATCTTTTTTTCACCAAATATTCCTATTCCTGGGTGGTTAACTTGCTAAGGAATATGGCTTCAAATATATGAGACCTGAAAAAAGACTGACAGCAGGACTTTCCAGTATTACCTCTCAATATCCTTGAGTGACAGTGTGACAACAGGGGATTGAGGTGGAAATTTCAATGCACATCATTGGGATGAGCCCGTGGCGCATCTCCGTCACCCAGCGATTTGCCAGATCAGAAGAATCGCCAATGGAGATTTGAAAATTTATCATTGATGTATATATGTATATTTATTTTTTTGAAAATCATCCAGAACAGTACCTTAGAAATACATAGCACTGTAAGTGTTGGGGTAGGAACTCCGTGGTGATTCTTTGTTTTAGAACTTTTTTTTTTTTTTTTTTTTTTTAAGATGCAGAGTCTTGCTGTGTGATTCAGGCTGGCTGGGTCCTCATGGGTTCAAACAATTTTTCTTCCTCAACTTTCCGAGTAGCTGGGACTCTAGACAGGCACTGCTGTACCTGACCAAGGATTTGGGGGTTTTTATTTTTTTAACTGCGTGTAATTTTTCCAAGCGTGTGTACATTGTGTAACACTTAAATCATGTTAAACATTTATTTCCTCAAGCATTCATCATTTTTTTATCTTAAAAACTTATGAAGTCCTTTCTTCTGGCTTTTTGACATGTTGTTAGGATGCAGTGTTGTGTTATCTGTAGTCCCCTGCAAAGCAGTGGCACACCAGAACTCCCTGCTCCTATCTGATCAGCCTTCCCCATCCCCCTCACCCCTCGACTCTCCACAGCCTCTGATGACCACCATTCTGCTCTCAGATTCTATGAGATCAACTTTTAAGAATTCCACATGAGATTATGCTGTACTTGTCTTTCTGTGCCTGGCTTATTACAAATAATGATCTCCAATTCCATCCATGATGTTACAAACGACAGGATTCCTTTCCATACTTTTTTATGGCTGAATACTATTCCTTTGTGTATATATAGCACATTTTTAATTATCAGTTGATGGACACTTAAGTTGTTTCCATTTCTTGGCTCTTGTGAGTAGTGTGGCAGTGATCATAGACATGCAGATGTCTCTCTACCATACTGGTTTCATTTCCTTTGGATATATATCCAATAGCAGGACTCTTGGATCATGTGGTGGTAGTTTTTGGTTAGTTTTGTTTTTAATTGTTTGAGTAGCCTCCATACCATTTTTCCATAGTGCCTATAGTAATTGACACTCCTACCAACAGTGTGCAAAGAAGGGTTCCCTTTTCTCCATATCCTCACCAACACTTGTTTTTAGTGTTTTGAGTAGTACCTATTCTTACTGGGGTGAAGTAATTTTGTGTTTTTACATTGCCTGATGATTAGTGATATTAAGCTCGTTTTCATATACCTGTTGTCATTTGTATATCTTCTTTTAGGAAACACCTGTTGAGATCTATTAGTTTGTAAATGTTTTCTCCCATTCTGTAGGTTGTCTCTTCATTGTGTTCAGTCTCCTTTACCATGTAGAAGCTGGTTAGTTCGATGTGATCCCATCTGTCTACTTTCACTTTTGTGTGCTATACTTTTGGGATCTTATCCAAAAAAAAAAAAAAAAAACTCTTGCCTGTCCCAATACCCTGAAGCCTTTCCCGTTTTATTCTGGAAGATTCATAGTTCCAGGTCTTAGGTAGCTAAACCTTGAAAACATTTAAGTTGGTTTTTGTCACTGGTGAGAGGGATCTGGTTTCGTTCTTCTGCATGTGGATGTCAGTTGTCTTAGTACCACTTACTGAAAAGACTGTCCTTCTCCTAGCATTTTTGTCAATAGTCAGTTGACTGTGCGTGTATGGGTTGACCCTTAGGCATCTGTTCTGTTCCATTCATCTGTGTGTCTATTTTTATGCCAGTTGCATGCTCATTTTGATTAATAGAACTAGTAATTTGATTACTAGAACTAGTAGTGGTGGAATGCCTCCTGCTTTATTCTTTTTGCTCAAGATGACTTAGGGGGTTTTTTATATACTTTTTTTGTATAAATTTTCAGAATTTTTTTTCCTGGTATTTTGATAGGAATGATGTCAAATCTGTAGATCATTGGGTGGTAGGGACATTTTAACCATATCAGTGCTTCCAATCCATGAACATGGGATGTCTTTCTGCTTTTGGGTTCCTTTTCAACTTCTCTCATCAAAGTTTTATAATTTTTCATCATAGAGATCTTTTACTTCTTTAAATTTGTTCCTGTATGTTTTTTGTAGTTATTGTATATGAGATTGCTTTCTTGATTTCTATTTCACAAAACTTGTTATTAGCATATAGCAATTGCTGCTGATTTTTGTATGTTGATTTTGTGTCCTCTAACTTTGCTGAATTGGTTTCTTCTAGTAGTTTCTTTTGGGGTTTTCTATATATAAGACTTTGTCATCGGCAAACAGTGACAATCTGACTACTTCTTTTGGATGTCCTCTATTTCTTTCTCTTGCCTGGTTGCTCTGGCTAGGACTTCCAGCCCTCTGCTGAATGAATGGTGAAAGTGGGCGCCCTTGTCTCATTCCAGATCTTAGGAAGCTCCTGGCTTTTCCCCGTTCTATAGTATGTTATCTGCCCCGTCCTCCTCCTTGCGTCACTGGGATGAATCCCACTGGAGGGTGGTTTTTCTTTATTCTTTTTCTGTGCAGACGATCAAACCCAGGGCCCTGTGCATGCTAGGCGGGTACATTACCACTGAGCTGCATCCCCAGTCCCCTGTGAGTGATCTCTTTAATGGACTGTTGGATTTGGTTTACATATTTTGTTAAGGATTTTTGCATCTGTGTTCATGAAGGATATTGGCTTGTCAAATTCTTTTGTTGTTGTTATTTTATCCTTTTCTGGTTTTGGTTTCAGGGTAATAATGCTAACCTCATAGAATGTGTTTGGAATCGCTTAAGGAAAATTAGAATTAGTTCTTCTTTAAGTGCTTGGCAGATTTCAGCAGTGAGACCATCTGGTCCTGGGTTTTTCGTTGATGGGACACCTTATTTCCGATTCAATCTTGTTCCCTGTTATTGGTCTGTTCAGGCGTTCTATTTCCTCATGATCCAGTCTTGGTGAGGTATATACGTGTCTAGAGGTTTGTCCATTTCTTGTAGGTCATCAAATCTGTTGGCACATGGTTGTTCATAATAATCTCTAGTGAACCTTTGTATTTTTGTGGTGTCAGTTGTAGTGTCTTGCAGGAAGCCATCCGTGAATTACACGAGGCTTTTCTCTTGCTTGGTATGGAAGCCAGGAGATTTAGGTTTGGCATTGCACGCTATCTGTGACTCTCCCGCAGCAATAGATTGCCCAATGCATGTGATCTTTATCTCCACTCTGCTTGGAAGATACCTCACGGTAGCTCCAGAGATGGGTGTAACCCTTTGGGAACTGGACAGCCCACCTTTAACCTTTTTTGCTGAAGAACATTCTAAGGAAGGCCTTTGATGTTTCTCGATATAAATAAAGCAGGTGTGGGCTCCATTTTGGCCAGAGTCTAGAAGCTCGATCCTTCTGATTGGCTTGCCCACTCTGCCCCCACTTTTGAAACTGCTTTCTGTGTTCTGTGATATTTTTTATCCTTCTGTTTTTCTTGGCTTTTATTTCTCAGCTAGCTCATTCCACCAGTGGAACCCCATTTCCACCACCCATGTGAGGCACAGGTGAGAATGTCTCCCTTCTCATTTCTGATTTTATTTATTTGAATTTTCTCTCTCTTTTTTAAGTCTAGCTGAAGATTTATCTTTCAGGAGTTTCTGCATTTTTGACATAAACATCGGTTGCTATCAACTTCTTAGTCATACTTTTTGCTGTATCCCATAGGTTTTAGTATGTTGTATCTCCATTTTCATTTGTTCAAGAAAATTATAAATTTCCTTCTTGATTTCCTCCTTGATCTATTGGTTGTTCAAAAGTAAGTTAATTTCCATGTATTTGTATAGTTTCCAAAGTTTTTCTTGTTAATGATTTCTAGGTTTTTTTTTTTTAACATTTATTTTTGAGTTGTAGTTGGACACGATATCTTTATTTTATTTATTTATTTTTTACATGGTGCTGAGGATCGAACCCTGGGTCTCACACATGCTAGGCAAGCGCTCTAATTACCCACACCCCAGCTGAGATTTCTAGTTTTATTACATTGTGTTTATAAACAATAGTTGCTATGATTTCAGTTTTTAAATATTTGTTGAAGACTTGTTTTGTGGATCTATCCTATTTTTTCCCTTTTATTTCCCCCAAAGCTTTATTAAGGGAAAATTGAAGTACAATAAAACGCACATTTGAAGTATGCAGTTTGATCAGTTTTGACCTGTAGGTAACCAGTACAATCAATATAGAAAGCATTTCCATTACCTTTCATCTGTCCTTCTTGAAGAGTGTTCCATGGGCTCAGAACGTACATGAGGAGGGAGGTATGTATTCTGCAGTTTGGTGGAATGTTCTACAGAGGTCTGATGGGTCCATTTGGTCTAGGGTGCGGTTTAACTCTGCTGTTTCTTTCTTGATTTTCCAACTGGATGAGTCCATTGCTGAAAGTGGACTGTTAGAGTCCCCAGCTGGGACTGTATTGAAGTCTGTCTGTCATTTTAGGTCTGTTAATATTTGCTTTATATATATTGGGTGCTCTGATATTTATATATTTTTAGAATCATTTCCTCTTGCTCACTTGACCCCTTTATCCTTATATACGAATCTTGTCTCTTTTTACTGCTATTGATTTAAACCCCATTTTATTTGGCATAAGGGTGGCTACACCTGCTTCCTTTGGGGTTCCATTTGCAGGGAATATCTTACTCCATGACTCCACCTTCACTCTGTGTGTGCCCTGAGAGGGGATTGAGTTTCTTACAAGCAACATAGAGAATTGGAGAATTTAATACGTTTAGATCCAAGTAATTATTGTTAAGTAAGGTCTTACTACAGTCATTTTGTAACCTGTTTCTGGCCAAAGATAATTTAAATATTCCAC